AAAAAATGGCAGAGTGGACCACACTGCCTACTCTCAAACTTGAAGGAATAGTTCACCCAAAATTTAAAAATCATTTGAATAAATAATATTTTTTTGAATTAAATGATAAATTAATTAAAATGTATTTGAATAAATAATTTATTCAAATGTATTTTGTTTGAATAAAATGTCCCAGAGTAACTTTGCAACTGCAGTACATGTCAACTAAATCTCACTGGAGTGTTAATAGACTGTTTGGTTAGGGCTAAGGTTAGTAGAATAACATGTGACATGTACTTGCGAAGTTACTTAGTCAGTAAAATGTCTTTTGGGGGACCATCAAAATAAAATGTTAGCAGATATTAAGCAGACAGTCTACTACTACTCGTATTACTGGAAGTTTACATGTAGTTGCAAATGAACAACATGTGTAAAGGAGACCATTAAAATATAGTGCTATCTAATGTTCTGGCAAAGTTCACTCAAAGTTACAAGCAAACATTCTTTCAGTAATGTTAATAAAATATTTGTTGTGAGTTATCTAGTCTGTTATAACATTCTGTTGTTTCAGAACATAGAAAATAACATTAATGTTTGCAATATGATAAAATGAATTGAAACCTGATTCTGGTCTGTGAGAACCTGACGTGTACTGAAGCACCATGTGGACTTGGTCTCCATTCACAGTGAGGTGCTTCAGAACAGGACAGCGAGAAAAGCCATCCAGGCCTCCACTTCTCATGTATGGCTGGGTCTCCGTTACACCTGCACCTTCAACTTCTAGTTCTGGATAAAGAACAGAGAAGTGGGCTGCTACCAAAACTGGGCGCCTGGTCATGGGCCACATGGTTATGAGGAGTGTGGGCTGTCAGGAGCTATGGAGTCCACTGGAGGGCACCGTTGGGTCGGGAGGCCAGAGAGCGAAAGGCTCAATTTCATCTGCCAAATATGTACTGATGTGTTCTAACCACAAACGAGGAGAGACTGAAGGGTGCTTCTCAAATGGAAGGCTGCATCCTTCCTAGTTCAGTCCTTCAGAAGCTTGTAGGCTAGAGTCCTCCTCTGCATTAAACACTAGAATGAGACGGTCTAGTAGCCTAAGTGCACATGGCTACGTCACATATGTTCCCGCCCTCACCGTCAAAGCACGAAAATACTAATAAAACTTAGTTTTGAAAAAAAAAATACTTTGTATTAAAATTCTTTATATTATTTGGCTTTCTATTAATGCAATACAATGAAACACAGCCATCTACAGTCTCGCAGTGGCTTACGTTATTCAATATGCTGGTTTATTAACATTACATCAGTTAATGAAATACGTTTTTTTTATTGTGAATTTAAGCTAAGTCTGTAAAACCTAAAATGTTTCTACCATATTTTTAACGGTGAAGTTCTGGCAACCACAGCTGCCGGTATTTTACCGTAAATGTCACAGATTTTTTTTTACAGTGCAGTTTAGCGTTTAGTGAGTAATTTACTAGTAATTTATCTTGTGTGTTTTGCCCTTACTCACCCAAACTTTTCAACAAGGCTACTTTATGTGAATGCGAGTTTCTTAGCAAGTATTTGTGAATCAGAGGTGTTTTATATATGAGATGAGGACATGACTGCAGCCGGCAATGAGGCCCAAACCAGCACAGCCACTGCAAGAAGACTTCGGCTTTTAAATTTTTCTTAACATTATTTTATTTATCCATTATACTGAAGAGACCTTTTTAAAAGATACTGTTTTTGTTTGTTTGTTTTATAATTTTGAACTCAAGTATGGTTTTTAGGTACTCTTTACACCTCTGTATATAGGGTACAACGGGTAGCTAAAGGCTCACCTTAAGAAAAAATGTGCTATTTACTGCGCCTAAAATGTATAATTGCAGAAAAAATATATTCGTTGTATTGAACATTAATGGAGCAACATATTTTGTATGAAAATAAATCATTCAAGTTGTTTATTTTGTTTAAAAATCTTATAAATGTAAGATTATTTACAAAAGATAATTGTTTACACGGGGTAAAAGGCTCACCAGCATGGGGTAAAAGGCACATGATATTGATACAAATACTTCAGCTAAAATAATGTTTTTAAGTATTTTAAGTAAAGTTAATACTTGCTCAAAGCAATCACGAGATTCTGAAAGTATTGAAGGAGATCCAATAATAATTGAATATATATTTACAGTAGTAACAACAAATGATATTTTATTATATGATATGATTAATATCATGTTTTTAAATATGATGGTTTCATTCTAAACATGGTGATTATCTCTAATATGGACACCCAACATAATATATGATATTTACCATCTGAATCTAACCATGTCATGTCAAGAAATGGAAAAGTCAGCCATCTATTAATTATCATGTTAATTACTGTGCGCCTTTAGCCCCAACAGCAGGGGCGCTTTTTACCCCAAATACCATACTTTTACATATTTTTTTCGTTATTTAAAAACCGTTGCTTTAATTATCTTAATAATCATAAAGAATCATAAAGAAGACCTTTGTCTCAAAATATATGCATTAATTTTAGCGATTCTCATTTGCTACTTAAATCTACAACATTTTTTAAAAACATCAAATATTACATCAAGTAAGCACATAATCAACTTTGCACTGCTGCGCACGATCGCGTCAAGGATCAGACAAATATACACGTGCATCTTGAAAAGCCGATGTTTTGGAAAGTGCTACGCCACGTTTTTGTGCCATCTAGTGGTATAGATGAAAATAATATCAAAGGCGCCTTTTCCCCCGGGGCGGCTTTAGCCCCGTTGTACCCTATATATTTTTTCTGATTAGTGAGTGGCAGTTCATCCAGTCAGAGACCTACGACTATTTATTTAATATAATTAAACCAATATAAATATAATATCTTAATATCTTAATCTTAAATATAATATCTTCTAGACAAAGTCACACATCATAGTGGGAGTAAATCTCTCTTGAGATTGTGTCATCATGCAAATCGCCTAAAGACTACTGGTATGAGATCATGTATTTTTGGATTGATTTTTATTGTGAAAAGTGCTTTACAAATACGTTTATTATCACAGTTACATTCAGTTAGTTTCAATTTCATGGACTTTTAGTTTGTATTCAGTTCCTTTGTTTGATTTTCCCGCTTTCTTTGGTTGTCAAAGTTACTAATATGATTAGTTCTTGAGTTCAGCTGTGTCATTAATTTAACCTTGTAAGATTTGTGTGGATTATCTATTTAGGATTCTCTGCCTGTCCACAACACTGTGCGATTTATATTATTAATAATTGTTTTCAATTAATAATGGCCATTAAAAAAATATGGGCTTCTAGACCTAGACTTACTCTTTCCACTTTTAAAAATGTCTGATTATGCATTGTGTCATGTATACATATTTGAGTTTGCCTTGGCCATAAATAGCTGCAAAAGAGCAATTTTGTGAAGCTTCAAGAGTTATTGTTGAAAGAGAGAAACAGAAACATGTTTTTTAAATCATTATTAATATAATCAATTGAAATGCATTTTGTTGCACATAGATTCAGAAATAAAATAAAAATTCAGAAGTAGTTTATTTATTTTTTTAAAACAATCACTAAAAGCCTTAAATGTAAACTCTGACCAACAGGTTATCAGAACAGAGATACTTTAGATAAGATTTAGCCTATTGGTTACACTTTACAATAAGGTTCCATTAGTTAACGTTGGTTAATGCATTAACTAACAATAAGCAATACATTTGTTACAGTATTTAGTAAACTTTGTTAATGCTAGTTCATAACATTCTTAGTTCTCAGGTCCATTAAATAATATTAACAGATAAAACTTTGGATTTCAATAATGCATTAGTAAATGATGAAATTAACTAATAAATGCTTTAAAAATATTTTTCATTGTTGATACATTTAACTAATATAGCTGACTAATGTTAATAAATGGAACCATATTGTAAAGTGTTACCAATTTATTTAAGATTAGATCATGGCAAATTATTAGGAAGAAGCAAAAATTAGGAAGCAGAAGAGTTCATTACATAATTAAAATGAAAAAGCAGAAGACAATATAAGAACAATTCAACTTAAAGGATTAGTTCACTTCCAGAATAAAAATGTCTTGATCATTTACTCACCCCTATGTCATCCAAGACGTTCATGTCTTTCTTTCTTCAGTCAAAAATAAATTAAAGTGTTTGAGGAAAACATCCCAGGATTTTTCTCCATATCGAATTCAATAGGAGCCAACGGGAACATTTGTGGTTAAAAAGTATAATTTTTTTCTTTTTTTTTTCTTTCGAAAATGACCACTTCGTTTCGCTATAAACCTAGTTCTTGGATTTGGACCTTCAACCCATGGGCTCACACTGAAGTCCACTATGGAGAAAAATCCTGGAATGTTTTCCTCAGAAACCTTAATTTATTTTCCACTGAAGAAAGAAAGACATGAACATCTTGGTTGACATGAGGGTGAGTAAATTATCAGGAAATTCTTATTCTGGAAGTGAACTAATCTTTTAACGTAGGACTAAAGTAATAATTGTGCTCTCCAGTAATATTTGCCTAGAGCACATGCCTAAATAGAAATACACTCTTAATGGAAAAGTAAACAGAAGTATATCTAAACTCAAAGAGTAATTTATAAGCAAACACCATTAGTAAAATCCCACTAAAACCCGTATACTTAAAAAGATGTTCTCGGATTTTCCACAATTAATCTCGGGGAAAAAACTGCAGATGTTGATCGATGACAGGAATGGATGTTGCTTTTGAAAGAAGAGGCTTTTGTCTTTTCTCATATTTTCTGAAAAGAAATATACACAGTTATGTAAATCCAGAAATTCTAAACCATTTGAACAGACAAAACTATCCCACAGACAATGTTAAATTCAAATTCGAATTCCAAAGAAACGATGTCAAATAACGTAATTGTCTAAAGCGATCTATCATGACTACATGTTAAAGAAAAACAAAGCTTCAATCTGAATTATATTATCATCTGGTGCTTACCAATGTAAAACTAGAAAATACACATTTCTTAGTGCATTCCCTCAGATGTATGCTGCTGCTGCTTCTTCTTCCTCATTGAATCCAGCTTTAACAACCTCTTGAATACTTCTGATTTCTTCTGGAGGAGCAGCAGGTAGAATGGCAAGCAATTCTCGATCAATCCTTTCTAGTCTTGCGGTGCTCTTCTTATCATACTCGTCTTTATTCTTCAGGACAAGCATTAAGGTGCCTTTCTGTGCCTCATCACAGCCGTTCTGGAGCAGTTTTCGCTCATGCTCGAATTCTGGCTTACTTTTATCCATGGCCATTAGTTTGCCCAGTGAACTGACGCGGTCCATCAGGTACTTGCTGGAAACATCTGTGTATGTTGCAGAGATCATATTGACCAGACTAGCAATGTTACTGGCTTGGAAGGCTTGAGTGTACAGCATATCTTTTGAGAAAAACTTTGCATTGTAGGAGAGGGTTTGTGTTTTCTCTGATGTTGAGACAAAGTTTGTGAGAGTTTTGCTCAGGCTGGTTTTCACAATGTTGGAAACCATCTGAAAGAAGTGAACCATCTTCTCCCACTGCTCCTTCACTCTCCCCATGGCATCCATTCCTTTGACCAGCATCTGTATGGTAGTTCTGAAATCAATCTCTTTCAGTTCACAATTTCTCATAGTGACCAGGATTTTAGTTAGCTCCTTCTGGTTCCCCTCTAGGTTCTCCACACACTTTTCATAAGTCTCTGTTGTCTTGTTCAGCTGAGCTCGGGTCAGCTCTATGGAGAATCTTGCATTTTCTGTGGCCCTCCCAGAAGGACTCCTGTTCTCTGACTTTGTTTCTTCTTTATGCATCATTGGTGGCTTTGGAGCAATGGCTGGAGAATTTGTTTTGTCTTTACTTTTGCAATCAAAAACATGGGCCGACTTGATCAGATCCAAGACCTCTTTTATCATCTCATTGCTTTTGTCTTTGTCACATTTGCCATCTGGTGCATATTTTGCGAGCTGTTTGCATATTTCTATGCCATCTTGGCATAAGTTCTGAACTTGTTTCTTTGCTGGGCAGTCAGAGTTTTCCTTTAAAGTTTCATTGATTCTTTCGAACTGTTTTGCTATGAAATCCGTCTTTGTAGTTTTGTTCTTCTGATCATATAGTTTTGTCCAGTCAATGTTATCATCCTTAATATTCACATTAATTTCTTCCTGGATTTTCTGTGCACAATTTAAAATTTCAGCTGACTTACTATATACCTTTATTTCAGCTACCACATCTCTTTCACCATTCACTGGTTGATTAATAACAGATACCATTCCAGTAATCATGCCAGTAATGCTCTGTGTTATCCCACCTACAAAATCCATGCCGATCATTTCCCATCCACTAGGGAGAGAATCCAGAGCTTTGTTGTAGCTCTCCTGAGCCTGTTCCAGTCCCTTCTCCATTTCACTCATTGCCTTCTCAGTCCTTTTCTTGGTCTCTTGAGCTGACTGCTCCTTCAATTTGCTCTCTTCCAGTTTCTTCTTCATTGCTGCCATCTCCTCCCCATAAAAGTGCTCTGCATTCACACATGCTTCTAGCAGCTCTTGAATGATTTTGATGACATCAGTGAAGCGCTTTTCAGTTGCATCAGACAACTCAAGACATTCATCTGCAATGTCTTGGATATTTTTTAGCTGATCAGGAAGATGAGCTTTGACAACTTCATCATTGCCTTGGAACAGAATCTTCACAGCAGTTTTCGTGTAATCTGGAATTTGGGCAGTATGGAGGCGAATCTGATCCATGCTCGTATGGGCCTCATTAAATGCCCACCAGCCAGAGTTACACACTTGCATGAGGCAAGCGCGAAAGGAATCAGGGTATTTGATGAAGTTATAGCCATCTTTAGGGGGATTTTTACTGATAGAGAAATCTGTTGAGGACGAGATGAATACCAGCTCTCCCAGGATGGCTATGGATAGAGGTGCTGGAGTCAGATACTCTTCCCAGTTGGCATAGGGCTGCATCATAAGTTTGGTTTGGTTCCTCATGTCCTCAGCAGTGGTAAGGCTTTGAGTAGATTTTGAGATAGCAGAATTCATGACTTCTCTGTTCCTGCTCAAAACATAGATTAATTCACAATGCTATATTCATCACAACAACTTTTATGAGACATATACAGTATACATGTGTGTGTGTGTTTCCTTTTTTTTTTACCCCTTAGCTTGAAGAATACTAATGGACAGAATCCTAAGAAAATTATGCTTTTCTTCAGCAAAGATATGTTAAATTGATTTTTTTAAAAAGTGATCGTAAAGAATTATATTGTTACAAAAGATTTCTATTTTGATAAATCTTCTTTTAACTTTAAAGGATATTAAAATAGAAAACCTTTGGCTATTTTAAATTGCAATAATATTTCACAATATTACTGTTTTTACTGTATTTTTGATCAAATAAATGCAGCCTTGATGAGCATAAAAGACTTAATGGGATAGTTCACCCAGAAATGAAAATTACCCCGTGATTTACTCGCCCTCAAGCCATCCTAGGTGTATATGACTTTCTTCATTCAGACGAATACAATCTGAGTTATATTAAAATATGTCCTGGCTCATCCAAGCTTTATAATGGTAGTCAATGGGTGGTGATATTCAATAGTCCAATAGAAGTCCAATAAAGTGCGTCCATCCATCATAGAAAGTGGTCCACGCGAATGGGATCATATTCCTGCCAAATGTATTGCAGTCACGGATAAAAAAAATAAGAAGTGTGAAACCAAAATTTAAAAACGCAAGTAAAATTATATTGCACAAAATTTAAAAATGAAAGCAAAGTTTTCAGAATAGCAAACAATGGTCACGGATCAAAAATAATAAGTGTAAATCAAAAAATTTAATAATGCATTAAAAAAAATAATAAGCACGAATCAAAACTTTAAACACATTTAAAATCATATTGCACAACACAGAAATATTAATGCAAAATTATCCGAATTGCACACAAAATCATGTTTTCCTTGGTTATATTTCTCTGTTTTTTGTGCTCTCAGACATTTTCTGCAG